TTACATGGCGACCTGCTTGGTCGTTTTGATTACATGGCGACCTGTAAGATTACTGTAGCAATAACCTCATTTTAAAAAATAATTTTTCAACAGTAATATTTGACGAAATTTTTTTCAACGCATTATCTAAAAAATTTAGCCGTGTTGAACCATTAATAACAATAATAATATTTTTTTATTAATGGGTTTAATAAATATTATATACTTTAATATAATGCTCTTACAGCGCCACTTTAATATAATGCTCAAATAAAAACCTCATTTCCTCCCTGCACTAATCCCTTTGGACTAAGCAATATCTAATAGAATATGGCATGATTGCGTGGCGACCAACAATGGCGCACAGCTTGCATGGCGACCAACAATGGCGCACCACTTGCATGGCGACCTAAATAGGTCGTTTGAACCACCTGGCGACTAACACAATGACTGTAACAATCGCTCCATTTCAACAATTAATTCTTCGAGAGCAATATCTAATATAATGCTCAAATGAAAACCTCATTTCCTCCCTGCACTAATCCCTTTGGACTAAGCAATATCTAATAGAATATGGCATGACTGCGTGGCGACCAACAATGGCGCACAGCTTGCATGGCGACCAACAATGGCGCACCGCTTGCATGGCGACCTAAATAGGTCGTTTGGACCACCTGGCGACTAACACAATGACTGTAGCAATCGCCCCATTTCAGCAATTAATTCTTCGAGAGCAATATCTTGTGAATTTTTTTTCCTAAAACATTATTACGTGAGTTTGGCCATTAAAAAATCACCCAATAATTTTAAATTTTCTAAAATTTTTAAATAATTTCTATTTGGGTAGAACAAAGAAGAAATTTTGTTATTAAACTTACACTTATGAAGAGGGAATGTTTCAACTAAAAACTTTTAAACATATGATGTAAACAATGGCGATGCACGTAGATTTTAGGGTGGACACGTACACACTTTAAAACTCGAAGTTTTTTTCATTAATATATGTATGCTCGTTCTAAATTTTATGTCTCCACCTTAAAATTTTATCGTATAAAAAGTTTTATATTATTAACTAAGCTTATGTAAAGTAGTTAATTGCTTTGATTGAACTTATAAATTTCCTCCAATCCATGTGGATACGATACTCAATCATCACTGTATTACTTGTCCGATTGTGTATACTTGCACATATTTTGTGACCATATTTAATAGTCACAAATCGAGGACAACGATGATAAAGGCCAATTGACGATGACCAGTAATGGGGTTATAAAGGAAGGATTTTAGGGTTTTGAGTTCTTTTTTATTTTTTGTAATTTTAGAAAAATGATTTTTTTTGAATTAGTATTATTCTTAATTTTTTTTTAAAAATTTTAAAAATATAAATGTGACATGTGTCACTTAACGGCCGAATTCAACAATCGTTACAATTCATGCACCAAAAGTGTAACGTTGAAAATGTTAGACATCAATTTTTAATGGAAAAAATCTTTAAGCATCTAAATTAACTTTGGGTATAGTTTGAGCTATTAATTTTATAGTAAGCTTAAAAGAATTAAATAATTGATAATAAGAAAAAAAAATAACAACTTTTCAAAATAAAATGGGAAAAGAATATTTTGAAAAATAATTATAATTTAAAATTCAAATTAAATAAAAATATCATGACCAATACATGATTTCCAGGCAAGCAAACAATAACTTAAGTCAGCAAAATGTAGGATGTCATTTTCATGTTGTTGATTTAGGCTCGAGTAATTAAAATCGAAATTATTTAAAATTTAACGATTATTTGAAAAAATTAGTGATTAAAATAGGAATGAGAAGAAAGTTGAGTGATGAAAATTTGAATTTACCCTAATGGGCTGGGAAAGTCTGATTCATCGTCTCTCCCGCGAGCGAGCGATGTCGTGGTTTTCTGTGTTTTGAGAAAAAAAAAAGTGCGCAATATTAATTATAAACGAAATCTCGTGCGTTCATTCGCACTACCTAATGACGAGTTAGTTCTCGCAAACACCAAGACAAAACAAATTAGAAAACATTCAGGCCAGGGTACCTTAAAAAACAGAGCATCGAGTTGGAACAATGTCGAAAGGTTCTCCCCACAATTTCAGATATCTATCTTTCCAACATCCAGAAGCTGAAAATCGCGCTCTCATGCTACTCAATGATGCATTGCTTGCTCTTCGACCTCACCAGCTTTATTCATCAAAACAGAGCATCGCCATTCTAGCTCTCGCGATGACCAAAGCAACATGCATTTTTTCCTTTCATCGATCGAGAAAGCAGAGATTTTCAAGCTTATATAAGCCTCAAGAGTTGCTTGAAAAATCCAACCAAAGCTACATTCATCCTTCTTTCAGAAAACGAAAACACTCGAATTCGCAGAGTCCCGAAGAACATGTCGTCGGTGATGGGGCAAGTTTATCTTGACGGAAACAATGAAGCAGGATGGAGGTTTGATGATCATAGCGGTACACTTGCTGAAGCTCGTGGTCATACAATTGAGTTGACGGTCACAGACGGGTCTGACTGGTGGAAATTTAAATGCAAGTGTTTAGGAGGCAACACGTACTACATCAGTGGTTCAGGGTGGACTCGTTTCTTCAAGTGGGCGGGGAAGAAAGCCAGGGTCACACTTTATTCCAAAGAAGACGGCCAGGACTTTCACCGTGTCCATGTGAAGTAGCAGGGAGCTTGATCGAGTATGGATGCTATTTGTGGGATTGAAGTCTTATATTTCTTCTTTTATTTCATAGATAAATCACGTACGCTTCTGTGATTTGCAGCTTTGTTTTGTTAAGGCAGGCAGCATTCTACTGCATTGTCAAGGTCTTGTATTCCTTAAGATTATCAATGAAATGTTTATTAAGCAACTTCAATGTGAAATGGAACAAATATACAAATCTGAGTCACCTTAATTTAACTCAAACCGTAAAGACAGAGTTTACTCGAAACAGAATAACAGATGGCCTTATCTTTCCTGGTTTAAGGCATTCGCTTCACCCATGGATGCATTGATGATCCAAAGTATGTATCCATAAGGCTACACGAACAACTTCCAATTCCAAGTTCTCGGGTATAACATTTTCTTGTTTACTTGCTTATTAAGCCAGGTGAAAACAAGGCATTACTGTCCGGGATTTCCTAGAAGTCTCTCGACCGCAGCATGGACATTTCCGGCAGTAGCTATACAGCCCCTTGCGTATCATTGAAACCCATTTCTTGGAGTTGTGATAATTGTTGCTCCGACTAGGAAAATAAATTTTTTTAGGGAACTATGATGTTAGAGATTAACAATAATAACCCTATACAATTTTATAAGACTTGTTTTCTATAAATCAAGATTGGGGTAAGTGGATTTTTTCACCTTAACATCAGTATCATGCATTTGAGAAATGTTTGAAGCAAATATACAAAATAGGTCTTGAAAACTGGAGTTCAAGTTCAAATTGCAGACCTGCACTTAATCTAAAGTGCATATTTACAAACACCAGACGTCCAGGCCGCATGAACAGAATTGGTACCGTAGGCATTGACTGGATCCCATGTCCTATGAAGAAACATTAGACAACAAGCTATTTACAGCCGCGTTACACGGTTCAGATCAGTACAATGCAAACAACATAATCACAATCTTTGTAATGCAGCAGAGCGAATATTAGGTCATCAATATTGTCAAGATGTATATGTATTGTCAAAATGAAGCAACTTTGTATACCCTCTCGAGAGGAATACACCGGTAATGAGCTCACCCCCCAATATATAGGATTAGGTCGAAGGTCATCCATTTTATTTACGCTTCTGTATCCATCGATCTCCGTGACACCTGTGTTGCCCGTACGGGCTAGATATTCACTGTAGTCATCTTCTGTGTAGAAAATCATCTCCTCAGTGTGGACTGGTATATGATCTGACTCGTCATAGAGGCACACTTTTATAGCCAAACCTGAATGCAGGAGGTAAAAAATGCACAAAAAAAGTACTTATTGTGTTATTCTCTTCTATCAGTGAAAAAAATGTCAGCAATCATGTGCCCCAGACATGTTTGATAGCAAAATGATGATGTCTTAGAGTTTGACACGTTAATTCTGACGCAAACCCGACTCAACTTAATTTGATCATAAAAAGTCAAACACCAAAACGCATGGAATGAAGCTAATATGTTAATTCCATAAATTACCAGAATTATATCGTCTGAAGGCACCCCATGCCGATGTTACCTTCATCAAGGTGGAGTGTATAATTCCCTAAAGGAATTACCACAATAATGATATCAGCTGGAGTTTTGTCAATATCAACTTCATTAACATGATTAAAGCAAACAAAACTTATTATAAAGCACTCATTATAACCATCGACAAAATTGGAAGCCTACTATGTCAAAGTTATTTCAAATCAAAGAAATTCCCATAGTGAAATAACTACAAGTAACCTTCTTTTCCCCCTTTCCCAATAGCAATTATAATGCCCTCATTTAAGTCACTTCAGGAAGTAACCTTAAACAAATTCAACCTAAAAACTAATAGCAACTTTATGACATGCTCCGACTCTTCATTCCCCTGAAGCAAAAAATTCTTTTAGATGCATGGACAATTAAAGTCTACGAGAGATGAGGACTGGTGAAACAGCAAACTACCTCTGAAGCAACTTCATCAACTATGATTTGAATTAAGATAGCTCTATTCAGTATTTAATTACAATGGCACACATGTTAAAGTATCTGATTGTTCATTTCTTATGCAGCTGATTCGTCGATGATAAAATCCACTGTTATTTTTTACAAAGGTTAGACCAGTTAACACAAAGAAAAACTATTTGGTTCCCTCTTAATTGGTTGAAGTACGTGAATACAACAAATATAAGGCCCTGGATATTTTACCTGCTTTGCAACAAGATGGATTTATCATTTAGATGACCCTCGACATCACAGCAGACCATCCGAACGGAAAACATGATCCTTTGAAGCAATAAATTCTTTTAGACGCATGGACAATTAAAGTCTCCGATAGATGAGGACTGGTGAAACAGCAAACTACCTCTGAAGCAAGTGATGGATCCATTGGAACTTTGCTGGGACTAGATGCAACAAATGCAACTGCATGCTTTTTGATCCGGTTATCAATTGCATTGAACTGTACCAATGATAAGCCATCTTAGTAACATACATTGCTGATAAAAGAAACAAATTATTGATGCTATAATAACTGTAAGGTACCCCGTCTTCAATCCTGTCATACAAGAACCTGGAACCTCGTTCCGGCCCTGATCTGTGGACCACCGATGAACAACCTTGCTGAGCTTGAATCCTTTTGATAATGCCATCCTCAAGATTCTCATGACTTCACTGCTGTTGGCAGTCTCTATAGCAGGAAGATTATCAGTGTTGAATTTGACCAAAAATTTGTTACATAGCGTACCAAATCATGTCACTTGTTTTGATTTTCTCTCAGAAGAAAAAATGTTCCCATTCGTTTTATGTGCCGAGTCATATATGTCCAACTGAAGTTTCTGAGATTTCTCTGTTGGAGTTCCAAGAATAACATTGTTTGTATCTCCATCCTCAGCACCTAAAACCCTGGCCAAATCACATCCCATGATTTAAAAACTAACTTAATCAGAAACTGTGCAATGTATTCCAAAACACAGAACTAGAAGCCTGGCAATGCTTCAAGAGGAAATTCACCACAATTACCAAGAAAATAAGAACATCCACAAATGCCATACGGTTTCTACTGAGGGATTCAACAACAATTAGAGCCTAGAGATTCATTTCTTTCCATCGATCCCCCACCTGCACCAAACCTGAACTTAATTTAAGTTCTAGTACCCTCAACTGACCCCGAAATGAAAAAAACCCCTGAGCTGCCCTGTAACTTAAACTCTATTCTAAAAAAACTACCAACTAAATCAAATATAGATCATTATATATATATAACCTATGATAAAGTTCAGCAAACTTAACAAACCATAATTAAAATATAAAAAAAGTTCTAAAATTAAGAGAGGCATATTAGTAAATATCCCTGGTAGGTGGATTTTGTATAAAACAATTCCAACCTGAACCCAAAAATCTTAATGGAAAAGCCACATGACCTGGCCTAACTAGAATCCGATTTTCAGAAAACCACTTCTCTAGGGTCGGGGCGGAACACGATAGGTTTGGATTATTTTAACAACTCTTCCATATGATTTATACTGGGATTCAACAAGTGCACAAAAGTTTCGTATCCTCTTAGGCCCATTCAATCAAACACCCCCCCCCCAAAACACAAAAAAAAACTATATACAAATGCAAAAGAATCAAATGATAACCTAACAATATAGCATGAAAAAAATGCTCACATGTCAACGTCTTTAAAAGAGTACATATGCTAATCAGCATCCTTTTTATCAAACACCGCCCTTGCTTGTTTTGTTCTGCAGGTGTCCTAAAAACCCATCCATTTCAACATCCCTTTCAATAAGTTCATCAAGATGTCTGCACCAAAAGTAGTTTTTAGAGTATTAACACTTCTGTAAACATAATAAATATTCAAGATTTAAGCAAAAACAAAGAAAACGAAATCATATAACAAATTTCTCCGAATACAAATACTAACAAAACAAAAGAGGATTAGCTAAATCAGTAGAATTACCTATTGAGATAATAAACCGCCCAGCTTATACGACATCGGAAGGCTGGAGACTGTAATCTCGACAAAAAGTACGGCCTAACCAAGTAAATAAATAATTCAGGTCTTTGTTTACCATTAATTATTAAGAAAAAATAGAACGATAAATTTGAAAATTTAAAAAAGAAAACTCACATTTTTTTAAGTATCTCTTCTTCGTCAAGAGTAAACCCACTCTTCAAGAACTCTGCTTTGATCTTCTCTTCCATGGGTGCCTCCGTCTTTCTTTCTGATTCTATCAGTTGATTCTGTCAATCTAATTTAGGGTTTTCTTTTTGCGGATGAGAGAAATGGCGGGAAAATCTTCGCTTTGGATAAGTAGATGGAAGAAAAACGGGGCTTCTGCGCTCTCGCGGGGATTTGTTGTTCCAATTTATTGTTAGCCTAGCCCCCAACTTTTTGTTTATTAGCGATTATACCCTTCTTAGGCTTAGATGAGCCCATACTTTTATCTTAAACTTATATAGACTCGAGTTTTGATAATTAAATTTTTACCTTTAGTCCATTATTTATTCTAGTTAAATATATAAAAGGTGAAATTTATTATTATTATCCGATTAGATTGAGTTGAATATTTATTATTTAAATTTGAATCCACACGTGAACTCATCTTAATCTTATCTTTTTTAAAATTTGATTTGATTTACAAATTCTTAAAACAAAAAAAATTAACTCTATAAGATCATGTCGAATCAAAATCTATTAAATTCGGATCAAATGCACATTGTTAGGTACAATTTTAGAGAGTCAAAAGATAAGAATTCATTTAAAGAGTAAGTTGAAAAATGTTAGGAGATTTCGAGATTGATATAAATGAAAATAAAGTATAGGAATTAAATAAAGAAAAATGGAAATTTTAGGAATTAAACACTAATTTATCTCAAAATCAGAGTATCATCGTGCTAAAATGGTCCGCGAGCGAGTTGGTTTTAGATTTCCTCTTAGTAAAAAAATTTAAACAAGACTCTATACAATTTGGAAAATTAATTTTGTTATTCGATTAGATGTTAAAAAATTGATTCAATTTAATTCGATTTGTAATTTCATAAACTCAACACGTCTTGAAAATTTTCAAATTCAAGTTAAATTGTAAAATGAAAGTCGAATAACTCAAAAATTTTAATAACTGATAATTTGATTTTCAAGTTTAAGTCGAGTCACTCAACTATGCATGGCATACACACACGTCACATATTAAAAAAATATGAAATAATAGTTATGTATACAATAGTTTATAGAAAAGTTGCCTAAAGTCAAATATTAGTACCATAATATACTAATGGGGTTAGTTCAAGTGGTAAGCATCTTGATATCACTTAAACAAAGTCTCAGGTTCGAGTCTTTATGTATGCATAAAATCTTCGATGGGAGACTCACCCATCAAAGTCAGGTGTGTGATCTGGGTCGGTCTGGATTAATCTAAAAAATCAAATAAAAATTATAGAATAAGACTTATCAATTTGGATAATTAAAATTTTTTTCTTGATTCAAGCTCGTTCAAACGACAGTCTGGCTGTTTAACAAGTTTATGAAGATTGAAGCCGGTCCGTGAAAACTCTAACATCCAACACCGAGCTGTTAGTTAATTCACGCATTGGCTATCACCAACATAAAAGCCATGCAATCATTTTTATTCCTTCATTTGAGATTAAGGTGGTCCGTCAATTATACATGTCAAAAACCAATAGAATTGTAATTAGGGATGGCAAACGGGTACGATTTCGTGGATTCCGCACCGCATCCGCTCCAATTGGAGCGGGGATGGGTATAATTTTAGCGGGTAGTAAGCGGGTGTGGATTTATAAAGTGGTACCCGTCGTGGATGGTGGGCGGGTAATGGGTTTGAGACATTACCCGCCCCGCATCCGCCCCCCCCCCCCGCATCCGCCCACCCCACATCCGCCCGCCCAGCTAAATATCTATTAAATTTTGGATCATTATGAATTTAGGTGTAATTTTAGAGACTAATTTATAAATTTAATATTATATATTATATAATATATAACATATAATTTAACTTAATATTAAGGATATTTAGTCTTTAATCTGGTATTTAATTAGGGAAATATTCGGCTCTTTGATTAAACCCATAATCTCACTAACCACGTCACTTTCCATGTTCTTTAGCCCATGCTGCCCATCCAAACACAAATTAACGTTACTATATGCATTAACATCAAAAGAAGCAGTTTCCATGTTCTTTAGCCCCTCAAAACCCATATTAGGCTCACTATGAGCATTAACATCGAAAGCAACACAACAATCAAGCTCTGCGACTACATACTCCCTATAATCTGTCTCTATAACATTCGTAGAGCCACTCCTCTGACAAATTGAAGCATGCGCTGCTACCCCATCACGAACTGTCTGGGAACCAACTCCAACATCTCATTAGTTTGTTGTCAGGCGGGTCTAGATGGGTATGTCGCTAGTGGGTGTGGGGATGGATTTGAAAATTTGTACCCATCATGGGTGGTGGGCGGGTGGTGGATTGAAAAATAGTAGGTGGGTATGGGGATGGGGTATCCGCACCCGACGCCCGTTTGCCATCCCTAATTGTAATATGAAAGCCAGCCATCGACCTATCTAAATACCCAAAATTCATCGGTTGAGTACAAATTATTAATAAGAGTATAAAGAAGAGTGAATGCAAAAATAAGTATATAAATTAAATCCTAAGTTAACTTTAAGTGTTTAAAAAAATCGTTAAAAATAAGTATCTAATGTTTTTTTTCTAATACAGTTTTAGGTGCCTACACAGTAAACGCCACTTAAAAAATTTGTTAAATGACGCATGTCATACTTATAATTTTTAAAAATTTTATTTTAGGAAAAACATAAAAATATTATTAAAAACATTTAAAAAAATCAAAATCCCTAATTTCCTCACCCCCTCCCCTTGCGTGTCTCTCCTTCCCAAGCCCACTGCTAGTATCGGAGAAATCAATGTTTTTGACTTACTAGATATCAACTATATGAATATTTTGAGACAAATAGGGTGAGGGATTGAATATTTGAGATTTTAGGAATTTAAGTTTAGGAATTTATTGATTTAGGGGGATTAGGATGTCTACAAAAGGGATAGTCGACAATGGAGGTCCGACGAAGGGTGAGTGGTCGTTCGCGATGACAAGGCGATCGACGACGACAAAGGCGATCGACGACGACTGGTAATGGGATTATAAATGAAGGATTTTTAGTTTTTTTTATAATTTAAAAAAATGAGTTTTTGTAATCGGTATTATTCTTATTTTTTATTTTTTTTAAAAATATAAATATGACACGTGTCATTTAACGGTCAAACTTAACAGTCGCTATAATTCATGCACCTAAAAGTGTAACGTTAGAGACATTAGACATCTATTTTAATAAAAAAAAATATTTACACACCTAAAGTTAACTTCAGATATATTTTGAACACTTCCTTTTATACTAACCCTAAAAATATTAAAGAAATGATAATAAGAAAAATGTTATAAATAATTATAATTTAAAAATCAAATTAAATATAATATAACATGACCAATACGTGAATTTCAGGCAAGCAAACAATAATTTAAGTCTGCAAAATATAGGCTATGACATTTTAATGTTACTGATTTCGGGCTTGAGTAATTAAGATAAGAATTATTAAAAAAATTAAAAAGAAGAAGATAGTGGCTAAAGTAGGAATGAGAAGAAAGTTGAGTGATTAAAATTAGAATTTACCCTAATGGGCTGGGGAAGTCTGATTCATCGTCTGTCCCGCAAGCGAGCGACAAGGGGAGAGCGATGTCGCGGTTTTCTCCGTTTAAAGAAAAAAGTGCGCAATATTAATTACAAATGAAATCTCGAGAGTGGGCGTTCATTCGCACTACCAAATGACGAGTCAGTTCTCGCAAACACCAAGACAAAACAAATTAGA